ACGCAGTCTGAGTTTTGTGCTTGCTTGTGTGCGTGTGTGTATGTGTGCAGTAAACATTACTGCATGAAAAGAGAGCTCTCCTTGGTGGAGGATCACTGATCAGCCCTATTGGCTCCAGTTTATAGTGGGATTCATGACAACACAATAAACTGGAACAGTGTTTGAGCATCTGCGGATTTCTGTGTGTATGTGACAGAATAGTCTCTCCTAAACTCAGTCTCACACACAGTAGCGCACACACACGCACACACACACACTCAGTAAGCCATCTTATTTGGTAATCAGCAATTATTTGATGAAACAGTAGCATAGCAACCCAAACATACAAATGAAACGCAAACAAACATGTTGCGATAGTGAAATGTTAATCAAGAATGACAAGTTGGAAGACAAACGCATTCTCTGACCCCTTGGCTAATTTGGTTAGCTGTTATATGATATTACTCGTACTTTGCGCTTCTGCGCATGTGTGTGTCGTTGTTGTTTTGATTATCGTTGTTATGGCATCACTAGGATGGTTACTAGATAACCAAAAAAAACAAAAGATACACAAGCAGGTGTCACTATGCACAACGTCGCACACTAAACACATTCACATTGAAGCATTACAAGAGCTAACAGAAGTACAATAATGTTAGAAACTCCTAAAATATGTTTAAATTTACACTTGTTTTGTGCACATCTGGACATATAAACCAAAATGTACCACTGTATCTTTGCATTGCATTTTTTTGTTTCTTGTTGTCCAACTGAAGCATCCTTCCAGGCTGTTGAGCTAAAACATCCTTAAACCTTGTGTGTACACATTTTCATTTCAGAAGTGTTACTTTTACATCTTTTGAAAGATTTCCATGTCACTAGTGACCTTTATTCAACTAGCTGAACAGGAGGAAGCGTAGAGAGAGAAGGGGAAGACATGCCTTTGAACGGGGACAACTGGATTGAGGACTATAGCTTCAGTAAAAGCTGCACCTGCTCTACCACTGAGCTACATGGTGAAGTCATACTGAAAAAACTTGAGATTTGATTCAGATTTTAACTAAAGACGTGGGACTTGATACTTAACTCTTGCTCTAGTTTTGAGCCTTTACTTGGATTTGCCCTTTAAAGACGTTAGTCTTGACTTGGATTTGTGCTCTGATAACTTGGACTTGCATTTTAAAGACTTCACACTTGAATCAGCCAAGATGAAATAGAACATTTCTGATTAGATAGTATTTGTTTTATTTGAAAGTTGAATTGAGATTTAGAGAACACTGAAAATAAAGACTTGCAAATATCTCTTAATAGTTGAAGCAAAACACTCTTTCCTGATCAGGGAGTATAAATCTAAAGCAACAAACATGTTCCTTGAAACATTAAACATCAAATAAAAGCTGAAAATTCTAAACACAGGATTTGGTGCACACAGTAACTCATCAGAAAAAAAAGTGGCTAACATAGGCAGACAGATTTATCACATCATGAGGTCTTTATTGAGATTAATATAAAAGAACATAATGACATGGAACATTTTGTGCTCACTCACTGGAAATAAACTTGCTGGAGGATGTTAGGTTTGACTTTGTGATGCTGACCTTTCTCCCAAACCTTTGGAATATGTGGAAGGTGGAAAAAAATACTAAGTCTGTCCTGACACACACACCTGAAAAAACAAAAAATATTTGACTTGGTAGGTCATGGTAACACTGAGGCTGAGATTAGCATCGTTGACGTGAGCTCCTGTCTGTTTGTGTGCGCCTGAGTGTTTATGATGTGTCCTGATGGGACAGTCGACTTGGGCTTCTGGTAGGGGGTTCTCCAATCTGACATGCACTCACTGGATATGCCCTACCTAGTTATTCCACTGACAGCCACTGCCTGGGGAATAGGAGCTGGAGCTCATGCACGCAAAGCACACGCAGATTCATCTGTAAAATACACAGACGCGTAAAATGCGCCTGCGCACATGCGAGGCGGACGTGTGTGTTTTCACGCGAGCGTTCCCCTCTGGAGCCAGTTTTTTTTTTTTTCTTTTTTTCAGATTTTGCTTTGAGCACGGCTGGTACAGAAGGGTGAACAGTGGGAGTCTGGTCTGCTGTCACTAGAAAAGTCAAAGACATGCCCTCCCATAGACACACTTTTAGCAAGCAAAGAACCAGAAAGTGTCAAAGACTGAGCCCTAAATAAGAATCACAAAGGACATCACTCTCATCAATATACACACACACACAGAAGCTATAATCCATTATTAATTGAAGCAGATTGTCACTTTAAATATCCTTCCTAGCTGTTTCAAGCACACGCATCCAAAAGAATAATAAGTGCACTTCAACACATGCAAGATAGATCCAAATCCCCGAGCCTCGTTCTGTCAGAAGGGCTGGTTTATTATTACAGAACATGAACTTTCAATAAGGTCATATCATGACTTCTCGTGTGGTCATAAATAGCAGCTGAAAGTGACTGCTTCATTAGTAAATGGACTTTTAAGCTATAATTCTCTCTGTTCGTGCTTTTCGTTCTCTCTCCAGCCGGAGTGTGCCGATTAGAAAGTCCTAACCCAGGTAGCTCCCTGCTACCGTGTGCACGCCTGTCTGTGTTAACTTTCTGCATGTCCTTGACGGTACAGGCAGTGGAACTGATGTTGTTATTTCAGCCTGGTGCGCAAGACAAGACCATCTGCTTTGCTATATAGATTGCCCGCCATGTATCTGGCAGTTTGCATCGATGGGTTAAATATAACCTATCGCTGAACATTACCTGGCAGCTCCGAACCTGTGCACAGGTCATACTGCAAATTTCCTGACGTGGTTCACTTTGTTGTGGTAACATTTATATAGGTACGCTTCATATCATTAGGGTGTTTATTAATTTTAGACAATACAATCAAAATTATGTTACATGGACATCCCAAGCGCCAGTATTTTTCAAACAGATATTCTCTATCTAAATCAAATGTTTACATAAGCGTTGACATTTTATCGTATGCTACTTAAGATTTATTTATTATCTTTTGTGAAAGGCCCATTTCCTATAAGAAATAAACTGAAAATAATTTCTAAATGTACCAGTGGAATGGAAATAATGTTTTAGTTCGATTTTTTTTCTTTTTTAGGTCCAATTAAAGCCTGAGTGAGCACTGATACTTTTGTAAGAAATAATCTCAGACACCCATCTGTATCTACACTTCTTATCATTGTGATAAGTCAAATAAGTTTTCCTGTGTGGCTTACCAGTAACTTTATGTTGGATACTTTTTGATGAGACTGCGTTCGATGTTGAGAATGATGTTTGAAAGAAGCAGAAATTCCCCTGCCAAGATTGATATGTCATTCCAATTGCACTTCCCATGTGAACTTCATGGTTATCACCTATCTGCTGTTAGCCTCTATTTGTCTAGTCTGCTTTACGAAAGCAGTGGCGCTTATTGTGTTTACTCTTTTCTCCATCTTGCTGTCAGCACTTATTTTGTGGCGTCATATGAAGGAACAGAATGTGCTTTTGCAGGTCCAGGTCACACAGTCTCACTTTGCCATGTGAAACTGCTTTGCAAAAATACATAAGCTTTGATTGGTCCCATCTCTAAAAAAGGACATTAAAGCTGATGGATCACCGTATTATACAGCTACCAGAAAAATGTGAAAGCATGAATTATAAGGAAATTATGATTGCTCTTTCTTTTGGTTTTTCAAATTGGATTAAATATATTTTCATGTGATGAATGCCCTTTTCTTTTTTAACAAAAAGAGCCTTCTGAGTCATAACCCTAGTCGATATTTCCTCTGTAATTACAGACTGAATTGTAATTTTGACAAAAAAAAAAAAAAAGAAAACACGTTTTATAAAAAATATTTCTGGTGCATGTATGAATCCTTATTGACAACAGAAAATGGATGTAGGTACTTTTACTGCAAAGATAATTTGTGCAGGAACCTTGGAAATAAGGACAGGTAGCGAAGATCAACTTGTCCTCACCTATCAAAAGTAGCTACGCTAGTCTGTTAGCTCTTACCTTTCAACCACAAATGTGAAACATTAGTTTGAAGTGACCTCTTAATGCCAAATGTATATTTGGAAATAAACTATCTGTAGATATACTTACACACAGTCGTGGGAATATTTTGACTGTAATTTCTTTGGTGACAAAACTGTTTGTTGGCAAGGTTCAGAAAAGAAGAAAAACCTTAATGTTTTTGCCCAAATGTTGCCAGAATCTGAGTCTCAGTTAGTCATCCCTGGCTGTGGTGAGTTACAGGCAGTGTAAGCTTGCCGCAGAGACCGTTTAAACCCCTGGCTAGGGTACCAGCCTCTGAGGTTTTTAAGCTGTTGTCGTCAGAGAACAACTGTTCTACTTCCTCCTCTTTACTATAAAACCACAGAATAAATATTTAATTTATGATTTCAAACTCCTTCTGGAGACTTTGCTATCACTACTTTGGTCTTGGGTGGCTTTTGTGTTGAGCGATGATTGGTGCAACACTGGTGCTCTTTGGTAAATGTCCCACCTTTAAAGAAGATTTGTTTTCAGTCTAGAGGAACTTTTAAGTTGCCTGGGCCATAACCTGTTACTCATTAATGTCTGAATTATTGGTGACCATGAAACCAGTTAATAGGATGGATTACCACTGACAGCTGCATTGGCGTGGTTCTGTAGACTTTTGCACACTGCTTACTTTGCTAACGTGTAAATATGATAGATTTCCAATTCTGCAAGAGTGAGATTAGAAGCAAACCCCGATCAATTTCTGTTTATTGTGTCCAAGACACAATTAAAGCTTGGGAGGAATGCCCATCTCTTCATATCAGTCACTTATGAGGAACATTTAAATTTTTAACCTCTCCATTTTAACAACACCATCCTTCCATGTGGATCATTAAGATAAATTGCATATAAGCCAATTTCCCCCTTGTGAGAGTTAAGTGATGTTAAGTTCAGCTGAGCATCTCTAATGAGAATACATTGCTGCTGACACTTCATGTTCACTTCCTCGCTTTTCTCTTGTTTTGCTCCTTGACAGGCTGGGGACGGCAGACGACATGAAGGATGAGGCACAAGAGAAACTTAGAAAAGAGAAGCAGAATGTTGAAACACTCAGGTAAGGATGGTACATAAAAACAGTGCAAGAATAGAAATGCAATTTAATGACACGAGGTTGAGAGAGTAGTGTTTGATAAAAAGATTGCGTGAACAGAGTAAAAACAACTGGAAATGTTCATCACTTTTTAAAACCGACACACAAAGAAGAAGAAAACTCCACTTGGCTATGTGCATATTGGACGGATACTGTACATGGCAGGGAGATGATGTCTGATACCAGCAAACTGAGAGAAATGACAAAACGATGCAGTAAAAGTGAAAAAAAAAAAAAAAAAAGACGGGAACGTTAATTCATCTGACCCATGGGTTAATTCCTGTAAATGGAGAGAGAGAGAGACTGAAAAAGACAGGAGTGGATGACAGGATGACGGGAGAGGTGACACGAGGGGGAGAGAAGAGATGGGATGTCAAGGAAATAGTGCGTTTTAATCACCCTGCTGACATTGAAAAATTCTACATGAGTAAAAAAAAATCAGGGGTCAAATGCATGCAGTCTGTCTGTGTCTCTGCTTTTTACTTTTAACCTTATCTCAGATGACATATCTGGCTCATATCTGTTCCTCCATTTGGGGCTGTCAGCCTTATGATTCATGTCATTTGACATTATAAAACTGACTCTCGTGTCAACCAGTGCCCATGCTCCTCGTCCACTCTGCACGCACAAGTGCACAAAGCCCCAGAGACCAGCTCAGAGGCTGGCTTATCACCCCGTCTTCTGTACAAACTTCAATGGATCGCTTTGAGTTTCAAACCCTAAGTTAGAAAAATAACAACCACGCATCTCTTTGTGTCACAATCACAGTATTTATAAAGGAAAACCATTTTTTAGATAAAGAGTTCAACATGTTCTCACCCACGTGTTCCCCTAGAGAGCATTTTTGGAGTAACAAAATGTTCTTTTCAAACATTTTAGTTTTACAAGCTTTGCATTAGTTTGTGGCTTGATGACAGGCATCCTGGTGATTGTGTGAATAAATGTAAAAGTGTTATAAAAAGTGTGCCTTCTTTTAGTGCTATCATTGTTACTTTATCTTTATTTTAACTTGACTTTTTAATCAGATTTAGATTTTTTTTTATGATACAAGTGACTGTTAATGTCAATGGTAAAATATGTTTCATAAATTTTCTATATCACGTCATTTATCAATTTGTGATTGTAAAATTATACCCTGTAATACACTGAATATAAAATGTTATGTTTTTGTG